ACCAATATACTTCAAAATTATCCAATCATGACGGGTATTTGATCAAAGGCAAGCAGCCAACCTGCCAAAGCTTAACATCCTTTAGATCTTGGTGGACATTTACATGGGTATTTGCCTGCATTTGACACACAGTAACAGGAGGGTCACAGAACAATCATCAGTGGGTGCCATAGAATTACAATAGGGACAGAGATGCCATTGTTCCAGAACAGATAGGAGAAATGAAAGCACAAATGCATTGTTCCGAACGGAAAATATAATATCTTTAGGAAAAAAGCCAAGCGATATCATACTAGTATGAGAAGTAATGATGCAAAAGGTCCAATGTATACAGTACTGTGCAACGATCGAAGACCCTTTAGCAAGGAAATGAACCAAGATACAAGATAAACAAGGGAATGGTACACTGCTAATAAACCTACTAGCCAGACAAAATCACTTACAACACATAGAAGCTGCCGCTTGCCAGGAGCATCAGCCCCCTGGTTGCTGAACTTGGCCTCCAGTACCACAATTAGTGCAACATTATCCTAGGAGCAGAAAGATCTAACATGAGGCTACCATGGGAACATACAGGATAGTACAGCAGTACATATCACAAAGATCAATGAAATTCGAAATTTTTTGGTGCACCTTAACCAATCGATTCAAAGCAGTCTTCCTCTGGGCACTTGGAACCAAAGCTTCAGTCAATGACTGAGCAGCCTTGTTGAACTCAACCTAACAAAGACACAAGGTCCTGTAAAGATATGAAGAATGGGATCAAAAGTAAAAGACCACATATAAAGCACTTACAGACCTCATATTTTTTGACATGCGAGAATCTATCTCTACGAAAGAAAGTTGCACAACCATCTATAGTATTAGGGTTTCCTGTGTAGACCTGAAAGAGCAGTACATACATTAGAGAATTGTCCACTGCCAAACAACAATAAAAGAAATATCAAAATAAGAAACCAAATCAAGAGAAACCTCATTCGTCTTCCTCTTGTACAAGGCTTGGTAACCATGTTTATCCAGCTCTGGCGCAAAGAACTCCTCAAAATGATCATTTTGAACCTGAGAGCATGAAAAAGAGTAGCCTTAAGCCTACAATGAATGCATCAATGACAATGATTGGAGGCCAAGTGTAATTTTAAACAACAAATTGAGCCAATTTATTTTAACACTAACAGCTTCCTATAAGAAAATTCAAGCTTCTGTATAGTATCATTAATTTCTTTAGTCGGTTCAAGGTAAAAAATTGTACTTTTCCTGCCCTTCTGCAATTGCGAGGACCACCATAACTATACAAGCATGCCCAATCGGTAGAAGTTCGTATCAAATAAGTGAATAACAATAAGCACTCCAGCCCAGTTCAAATGCATTCATCCAAAAAGAAAAAGAAAGCTACTTCCAACCACTAAAGTCATCTCAGATCATTTCACGAGAATCTAAGAGTAACTGCAGTAGAATCACCAAGATTTGAGATGCCAGCCAGGAGGAACAAATGAAGGCACCAAGACAATAAACTGTTGTAAGTGCCAGAGTACACGAGATTTTTCCCCCCCGGATGTTTTAGTAGTCAACCAGCAGGGACAATTTAATTCCTACTTTAAAAATCATAGTTTTTCTACAGCAGCACTACTCATACCATTCCAAAAAAGAAGCAACTTTGCCAGCACCCTACTGTGACTTAAGTGAGGGGTTTTATTTTTCCAGGTACATAATTAAACAGCTGAAAACCATATATCTAATTACATAAACATAACTATTCTGCATTACCTCCTGGAGACAAACAATGTCTGCTCGATATCCAACAATTTCTCGAAGCAAATTCTGGCGGCGATAGGCCCACGACAGGGCCCATGATGGGCAATAAGCATACGACTCACTTGTAGCGTAGGCATCTGCCAAAATATTATATGAGAGTACAGTGAAAGTTCCAGTTGATGAGATTCGACCATCAGCATCTAAATGGGCAATCACATCAGCACCATTTACAGGGACCAAGCGACGTGGTGGAGGGGAGGGGGCTGGAATAACACGGGAAGTCATAAGAGTGCTTGGATGTCCCGCGGTTTGTTTAGTTTCAGCATCGACCACAACACACTCAAACTTAAGAACGTGCCCAATATCATCAGCTGATGGTGTGTACGTTTTTGATCGCCCCACTTCAAACCAAGTTTCACCACCATTCCTTTGTGTCACTGTGGCAGGATACAAAGGTGTCGATCCATTTATCAAGCTAGCACTTGATGCAGAAGTGGGTAAAGTTGAATTAATAACCCCAGATCCTGTGCTATTGAAACGTCCAAATAACTCTTCTTCCTCATTTCCATTCTCATTTACAGCACTTGCTGCACGATCATGAAGAACACGATGATGCTGCCAGGCATCTGAGAAGCATTTGGGAGAGCAATGATAACTTTTGGCAGATGGTATTTTTGCCTTAACACAGCCGAGGCACTGCAGTGTAGCTTGTTCTGATGGATGTATACTACATACAGCTACCTTCTTATCACTTTGTATCCGGTACCTACAAAATAGGTAAGGAAGACATCATATAAGGTATCACTTTCAGGAGAGAAGGGAAACTATTCCGTGGAGATTCGACCTGCCCTGAAGATCCTTTAACATAGAGTGCGATGTGCAAACCAAATCACTTTTTCATGTATTTCTTAAATATTCATCAATTGTTGTTCACAAATTCAAAACACAGATCAAACCTTTTCACACTGACCATTTACCAGTCCGTCACCTCAAAAGAAACGGTTTATGGATAGAAATGCCGCCAATATAATAGGAAGCACGAGGAACAACACCTATCTGCACTTAGTTTCCTCATCAGAAGTTGTAACAAGCTTTCACCAACCCAGCATAGCATTTAAGACCAGGGGGTACAGGAGAAAAGCAGAAGGGAAGAGGCAAAAAGGCTACCAGAAGAAACTGAAAACAGAAATCATTAACTCCTCGTTCAAAACTTACGCAACATGATCCTTTTACATTCTTGATCCCCATCATAACACAAGTGCCTAGCAACTAGCTAACTCTACGCACTTGAAATCCCAGGACTAAGAAATCCCAGGAAACAATGACGACATCTCCCCTAGCACAACACGGCTAAACAATCCTCGGAAGAAGCAAACTTTCGGCCAAAAAAAAGAGAGCAGAAACATAGCCCCATGTAGTCAAACGCGATCCAGAACACAGTAAAGTACTAAAAAAAAACAACAGCAACACTAACCACTTGTATCTCAAGAAATGACCGTCGAGGGGAGACGACTCGGGAACATCTTCGGGGTTAAGGGTCTTGTCCGGTCGCCGCAATAGGACGTACGGCGTTAGCTCACAGCCTACAATGGGGATATCCGACGGGAGGTGTACACGCAGCACGCTCAGCATGCTTTTACCTCTCTCGTTTTGGCCTATCTTCTTCTTCTTCTTCACTCTTCTCTTTCCTCAGCACTCGGTAACTCCTCCGCCTCCTCAAAATCGGAACAGCAAAATCCTGGTCGAATTAACAGTGGGCGGATATTTGGCGGAGGATCCGCCATTTACTAGACCCGAAAACCCGCCAGCCTTGCCCAGTTCTCAATTAAACCACCGTACGTAAGAAGAAGAAGCAAACCCTAGGTATCACAAATTCTACCAGCGCCCAAAAATAAAACAAAATAAATCAAATTCCCCCCCACTGCAGATCTCGAAGAATAGATTCCAGCAAAAAGCACACTGCAGAATACTTGGAGAACCAATAGGGAATCGAGATGATCGATTCGGCCAGAAATGATTGCGCGAGAGTTAATGAGTGGAGTGGGGAGAAGGGCAGAGATGGATTTTAGGGTTTTACAGAAGGAAAAGGTTGGAGGGGGGAGGGAAGTGAGCGAGACGAAGGAAGAGGGAGCCTCGAGAGAGAGAGAGCAGAAGTCAGACGTGGAAGAGCTGAAAGGAGGGCTTGGCTTTGGGTTGGGTTGATGAAGTCGAAGGTTTGGGCCGAGGCCGGGGCTTCGGTTTGGTGGCTGGCTCGGCTCCGTCTCAGTCTGTGCTTTCGATGGCGCAGTCGGCGGCTAAATCAACGTCCCCTGAAGCTGAAAGTTCTTTTGGGGCGGATTTACTTTCCTTTCTCATTTCGGATGACTGCGTCTGCACCTCGATCGATCCGATTTGGATTTAGTTCATTAGTTTCATCCTGAAATTAATTGGATCAATCATGTCATATATATATATATATATATATATATATATATATCTCAGTTTGGCCCTGCGGTAGTTTTTGCAGAAGCAGCTTCTAATTTGAGCTTTTAGAGAAGTACTTTTCAAAAAAAGCAGTTGAGTGTTTGGTTGAAAAACTATTAAAAGTGTTTTTCAATATAAGAGATTAGGTAAAATGACTATAAAGAACTTATAATATAAATTATGAATAATAATTCTAAACAATAAAATGTAGTCAAAATAGATTTTGTTAGACTTCTTTTATATTATATAATATGATTTTATAATTTATTTTATTTTTAAAATGATATAAATGAAAGAATATTATATTTTCTGAAATAAAGTAAAAATATGATAAGGATAATCTTGTATTTTCAAAACAGCTTTTCGCAAGAGCTCTGAATCGGAGCTTCTGCTTTTATGTTATACAAAAGCGCTTTTCGGCTTTTCAAAAGCCGAGCTTTTAGAGGTGTTTGGCCCTGCTTCAGCTTTTGAAACCGAAAAGCACTTCTAAAAGCCGGGCCAAACATAGGCTATATATTCAAACGGTTAACACGTATTTGGATAATTTGGTTTTTTTAATTTGGATAATTGGTTTGGTTAAATTTTTTAGCTTGTTTAGGTGGTGTGGTTTGGTTTCAGACACTCCTAACCAACGAAACTAAATTAACCAGTTAAGTAATTAGTTATATATCTAATATATATTGTATACATATGCTTAATATTTTGCATAACCAATGAAGAGACAAATGTAAGATAATTGTATTTGTTACATGTATTTATGTTAGGGTTACTATGATTATGTGTTGATTGTTATGTGTTATTCATTATATAAATTGTGAATTGATGCAGTAACCGGAAATTTTTTCTCACTTAACGATAATGTGGTGTTATATTGGTTATTTTGGTTAACCAATTAACCAAACCGATTAAGCTTTAGTTTGGTTAATTTGGTTGTTGTATTAGTTTGGACGGTTTGGTTATGATATTGTATTTCATGGTTAATGAAATTTAAGCTTATTTGGTTTGGTAATTACCATGGTAACCATTTAAACACCCCTACATATATCGGATATGTATTACAATAGTTTGTCCCCAAAACCTTCTTTTTTTTATCTAAACAAAACAAACTATTTACTGAGGACCGGAAGTTTGATATTGGTTTTTATATACCAAATAGCCTACCAAATTTATCACTATTTAGTGTTATAAAATATCAACTAATTTTTAGGGATTGTGATTGGGCAGATTTTGGAGTGCTATTTGGGATTACGAGATTGAGATATGTATGTCAAAATATCGATAAATAAAATCAAACCCGAATAACTTCCCAAAAAACATCAAACCCGGATGACTCTGAATTATACACCTTTAGTTTGGATTTCTCTTTTTTAGTTAAAGACCCACAACACTTTAGTTTGGCCAACACAAAAAGATAAGTGATATAGGACCACGATTGATAATAGATAAAAAAATATTCATATACTAGATTCACAAACATTCATAGATTGATCCTAAAAGTAGGGTTCATCTCACCCAAGTGATGAGAAGTTTCGCTCACGATGGTGGAGAGAATACAAAGATAAATAGACCTTCTTTTAGGAAATCATCTTCTTCTCTTTTGTCCAAATCTTCGGTCCTCTTGATGAGAATCCAAGAAAGAAGCTCTCTAGAAAAATGCTCTCAATTGATCATCCCTTTTATAAACTCTAAAACTCTATTGCTATCACTTTCACTTTCTCTCTCCAAAATTCTATCTAAATTTGAAAGTGTAAGGTCCCTTGAAAAATACCCTATCTCCTATGTATACTCGTTGAAATAGGTGTTGCTCCCGTGACATGCAAGCGTTGCTCCCATGACATGTAAAGTTACGGTCGTGAAGTTTAAAATGATGCAAGCCTCAAATATGATCCAAACACAATCCCCTTGAAGCTCAAAGAAGCCATGATGGCAAGAGGAGAAGGAATTCTGGAAACTATGAAAATGATAAGTATAAAGCCAGTTTAGGGGCACCACTTTGGGAGCTTACTCTTTCGACTTGAAGGACATTCGAGTGAATCTGAGAGTTTAAAATGGAAGTTCAAGACTTGTTAATGAGTGTGAAGGAATCGGTTGAGCTTGACTGAGCTTGGACGCCTTCGAACGAAGAGCCTAAAGTTGGTATGGAAACAATTTTGCTTACTTGCCCTTGAAGCTAGCTTCTTAGGCAGCAAGCAACCGAGTTGGAGAAGGTTTTTTTAAGGCTTTTTCGTGTTTGTTTTCCTTATTTGAGTTGTAGTTTAGTAGTCTTTCCTTCTTAGTATAGTTGGTGGTTTCAAAGCCTATAAAAGGCTTGTTAAGTCTTTGTAATACATCGAACAATTTTTGAATCAAAGATTTACTTTGTTCATTGGGTTTGTTGCTCGTGAGTTGGCTTTAGTAATTGGTGGATTCCAGTTACTTGAGTTCTTCTCTGTATCAATCATGAGTCAAGCATGAGTACAATATGATGAAATTGGCATAAAACAATTAAAAAAATAGGACGTGAAATATGACTAATTTATCGTTATCAGTATGTCTTCCTCGACTAAGCATACATAAGATAAAATAACACAACAATAATTAACCAAATTGGATACAAAACTTAACATAAGGGCATGTTTGCTAACGTCATCATAGTGTATTTACTTTTTTTACATGAAATATAATAGACAGAAATGTTAGACTGTTTCACTTCCCTAATTCCAATCAGCTGAAAATAATTGGCGGCCTACATGTAATTGAAGCACAACTTCATTCAATTCAACTGTGGACTTTGAAACAGTTGAGGTAGGGGAACAGGCCAAGCAATTCATCACGGCTCCTCCTCTGCAAGTGAATGCCAATCAACAAACCGAAGTTAAACAGCAGTACAAATAGGTCTGCACTAAGAGACTTGTACCAACATATGACTAAACCAATGCAACCAACTAGCTAATACTGAGTAAGATCAAATCCCCAACACAAAGAAGAAATGGCAAGCTCTTCAGGGAATGGAGTTGGGTTACAGAATGGATGACAGTACTCGAACCCAACTGTGAAGCCAGGGAGAGGCAAATGCACGAGATTGAGCGCTGCATTTTCATATATATATATAGTAGACAAACATCCTCACATTCGAGTAGATAGATCATCATTCACAATTTATGGTAGACGAGATTTGTATAACTGGGTACACGAGGCTGTAAAAAGCTTTCGAGAACAGCGTACCTTTATGCCAATGCATCCGTTTACATCGAGTGTTGTAAGTGTGTTTGAACAGCAACTTGAAAGAACTTCCAGGCACTTATCAGTTACACCAATTATTCCAAACAAGCTGCAACCAAATTTCACCACAGGTAAACATAGAGAAGGCAAAATTGAGTAGATATCAGGCAACAGCCAGGAAAAAAGAAGAGGTCGCTTAGACCAAAATGTTAAACATCAGTTGGTCCCAAGTTAAACATCAATTTTCTGATCTCAATATACCTAAGGAACTCCAATGATCTGCAACCTTCGGCAACAGCTATGACCCCAACATCAGTGATACGTACGCACCTATTTAAGACAAAAAGGGTTTCCTTATGCGTCTATCACTCTATCGTCATCTCAAGAACCAGTAGTTCTTTTCAAAAGGAAAATAATTTACACCAGTACTGACCATGTCAAGTTGAGAGAGACAAGGTCTTTGCACTTTGCTATACAAGTAAGGCCTTCATCTGACAGAAGCTGAGAAACAAACATGTCAACTCTTCAACCGAGACAAATTAACTGCAGATGCTTGATAAGCACAAGCTTTTGCTTTTCTCACCTGTGAACCACATAAGTCTAGAAATCTCAAATGGGGTAGATTCGATATGGTCCTGTATGCTTTATCTGTGAAGCTGAAAAGAAAGAGGAGATATAAATCAAGAGCCAAATAAAAATTACAAAGTCTAGGTGCAGAAGGTGTGTTATACCTGGAAAGTGCATAAAGATTTAAAGTTTGTAATAATGAGCACTTGAGTAGTATCTGTTGCAGGCCAACGTCAGTCAGCTTGATGCACCTAGAACAATACAAGAGCAGCAAGAAAGTTGTAATTGTATTTATGTTTCCGTAATAACTAATAAGTACTTCCTAGGCATAAATGCTAATTATAATTTCGGAGCATCTGATTTAGTTAAGCCTGAAAACACAGATATCAAGTGATTGGACAACTATATCAGACGCTGAACAAGCAAAACCATCTGCGCACCTTGTGAGGTTCAATGACGTTAACTCTGGATAATTGTTGGCAATTAACTGCATACTTTTGTCTGATACATTCTGTCATTGATACAACAAAGCACATCATGTTAAAAACATAAAAGTTAAATGACTGTCAAGCAGGTCAGCAACAGGTACTACTTGTAAAAGATGTTGCAACATTTCTAACAATTCTGAGAGCATTCATCAGATGACTTAGCACGCTTCATTCAATCCCTAACTTCTGAACCCCTAAAGTTTCAGCAATACACCGGCAACTTAAGAGTAGATAACAACAAAAAGTCTAAATGACTATGCTTTGCCCTCAGAAGGCAATTTAGCTCATGCTAAAGTACATACACCTGAGGTTCTTTTCATTCTGGAAGCCATCAGATGACAAAGTAGAAAGAAAAGATAAACAGAGGTAGAGTAGAGACACTAGGCATCTCACAACAATGGTGTTCACACGGCAATATAACTCATCCAATCAACATGCCATCGAAAAGGAAGGGGATGCAACGAGACCATGTACCTTGCATCCGCTCAAGTTGAGATCACTTATGTGTTTGCAGTTCTCCACCATATGATTGATACCCACATCTGTCACCCTAAAGTCCAACCCACATGCATACAAAAACCAAAATAAGGACGGAAATCAGCTCCTCTCAACCCAAGACTCACTGCAGTAATAGTAGTTGAGCTACAAACTAATGAAAACTCCAATTACCTAACGTTCCAATAAATAGAGAAGATCTTTAGCTTAGGGCAACAGCTCGTTATAGCTTCTATTCCTTTATCAGAGATCTTCTGGCAGCCATTTAGGTTCAAACACTCCAAGTTTTGGAGTGTGCCATGAAACTGAAAGCATTAAAAAAAAAACAATCAAAATCATCACCCAGCCACAGCAATTAATCAAACAGTTACCAAACACGAATCCAAAATCACCTCGGTTCGAAGGACTTCAAGATGCCTATCTTCAACATCTTGAGCGAATTCTAGGTTTATCTCCTTCAAATGTTGATATCTCGGCTGCAAATACATCAAACAAAAAATCACATCACAACACTAAAACCACCAAACATCCCTGCCCCAAAAATGGTTTGCTTGATAGTAAGTACAAATTAGAGCTGCTCCACAATTTCCCTCACCAGAGAAAGAGCGGCTATGAGGCGCTCGCCAGCCTTGTTCTTCTCCCGGAAGTCGAGAACCTAAACCCGCAACAAAAACAGCGACGATTCCCCTACGGAAATGATTTACTTGCAGACAAAAACAGAAAACAGTACTCCGCCGTCGTTCAATCGGGAAATCATCTGAGGTGGCGAGTTTAGTGTTAATACCAGCCAGAGGGAAGAGTAGGAGACGAGAGCTCGGTGGATCCACGGGCTGACGAGGAGCAGCGAAACCAGGTCTCTCTGATGGAGCCTTGCCCCGACGATCTTCATCACTCTCGGAATCGTCTCTCTGCTCCACATCATCTTCTGTTGTTCGCCGTCTCCCATTTCGGCCACCGCCTTCTCTTCGATTCTCATACTACTAGGTGCCGGAGCCGGTCTGAACGTCTCGAGGATTTTCCTTCACTCACTCACTGACTCAGACACGCTCGACTCGGGCCCTCTTTCCCCCTTTTTCCTAAATTTATTTACTATATATATACTATACTACTATTTTTCTTGGGTTTTCATTTTCATGTACAAAAACATATTAAAAATTCGAACTTTCCCGGGAACCAAACACCAACGAGGTGATAAAACGGAGGAAAGCTTATGAATGGAACAGTGATGATGATGAAGAAGAAGAAGAAGAAGAAGAAGAAGAAGAAGAAGAAGAAGAAGAAATGCATATGCCTGGTCTATCACCCTGTATGCCGCCGCCGGCAATACAATGTCGGGGGCTGAAACCTTAACCTAATTCATCTCTTAGATACAACCATCACACTCTTTTCACCATTGATATAAGAGAGTGTAGATCCAGGCCAAGATCATTATAAAGCTAACAGGGCTAAAAGAGAGTGGATGAGTTGAAACTGTACAAGTCAAACAAAACCCAGGCAAGTTGCTGCAGCAGCAGCCTCCACAAATCCCACATGTGTTAAAGCAATGTTACATCAGAATTGGGCTTACAAAAAATGTACCATTGGTTCACTGTTTGTAGCCAGTAGGTGCATAATTGCGCAGGCGGTGGCAGTATTGCCGACAGACGTTTGAATTGATTCTGCAGGTCCTGTGGGGTTTGAAACTTTGAATTATTGTTGGGAGCCACATGAACTTGACGGTGGTGGTGGTGATCGTGGTCATGCTGCAAAAGCTCATCGTTCGTGACTTTGTTACAATACTACGAGAATGTGTTCTGAAGTTTTGTTATTCTCTCAAAGACTTCGATCTTCAATTGAGTTGCTCATAAAATGGCACAAAAGGTAGTTTTTTTTATATACTAGATTGAGAATTATTAGTGGTTCTTTTATATAGGATTACGACGTATTTGTGATGCAAAACATAACAAAACTTACTATCATGTCAAGGTTTAGCTGTGAATTAATTTCTTTAAATGGTATTCTTACTTTTGAAAATCACTTCTATTATCTTTAAGTAGCTTCAGTTTCTGTAAAATAATGGCTTATACTTGTCATATATAATTACTTGTTACCAATATATTAGAATTACTAATTTACTATACAATTGTAATATTATTAATGGTTCTGTTTATAAAATTATAATATTTATGTTTATAAATTATAATGCACCAATTCATTATTGGATTTTCGACAGTGATGATGAAAACCCGAACATCCCCACTTCAATCGATCCACCCACTGAAATTCGCTTCAAGGCTCATCAATAACTTCAAAGGAAATTTAATCCCTAAATATTCCGATTACTCGAGGCATCAAACCAAATCGTTATGTCGTGCTAACATTTAGTTGCACATAAAAAAACATAAACTTATAGAAAAAACAACCAGAACATATTAATCGTTATGCTCCACTAACATTGTAGAGCACATAAAAAGAGGAGTTAAGGAACGACAAATAAAATGCAGAACATATATACATGGGAGATTATGGTGATAACAAAAAGATACATGGAAGGGTGTACATCCATCCCACGGTCAAAATTGTAATGAAACTCTCCCAAAAAAAAAAAAATTTGTGTGAGAGAATATCTTTGGTGAAGTGGGCTAACAATTTCCGTTCCATATAGTAGTTTGGTTCAACACTACACCAAACTAACAGGCACAAATTCAGTTCCAGTCGGGGGGAATATCATCATAAGACTATAATGGAAACCCACTCTGTTCATCTCCCAAAAAATAACAAACACTTCAAAAATACACAACTCGTCCATTGTTAGAGAACCCTAATAAAGGCCACTACTACAAAAGAGACCCAGAATTTCTTCTTCATACTTGAGAAACGCCAAGCTCGAGGACATGTAAGGTCCCATGTACTTCCTCAAACAACAATCACGGCCACCTCAAGGATATTCTTCTTCATCATCGGTTAATCCCAAGCACTGGTGACACCAGGACCCATTCCGCCGCCGCCGTAACCTCCAGACATACCACCATAACCACCACTGTTCCCTCCACCGTAATAATCTCCACCACCACCACCCCTGCTGAAGGACCCTCCTTCCCTCCTGATATCCCTAGATCCAAACCGCCCTCCTCCACCTCGTCGGTTCTTGCCTCCGCCGTAAGAGACTCGCGAAGCGTATCTGACGAGCCAGTTGGGAACTTCTTGGTTGGCTTCTTGCATCAACTCGACCAGGGATCTCGCCAACGAGATGTTGTGGTCGTTGAAGAAAGCCGTAGCCAGGCCAGATTTCCCAGCTCTTCCGGTACGGCCTATTCTGTGGACGTAATCATCGATGTCGTTGGGGAGGTCAAAGTTGACAACATGAGCCACGTGTGGTATGTCGAGGCCACGAGCTGCCACATCGGTTGCCACTAGGATCGGCGTCCTTCCACTCTTGAATGACCTCAGTGCAAGTTCTCTTTCCTTTAACAACAATAGTAACCATCACAAGTATTATCATCGAGTGCTTTATGTGAAACCCTAATGTAAGTGGTTTATCAACAGCTAAGGGAATTGAATAAACAAACCCATGAAGGGACCAATATGCACAAGGGAATCTGTATATAAAACTTTGAAGATTGAGAAGAAACTAACTAACCTGCTGAGTTCTATCACCATGAATTGTTGTAGCAGGGAAGCCATTCTGGCACAACCAGTACTCCAAGGAATCAGCTCCCTTCTTAGTTTCCACAAACACTAATGTCAAGGATTGCTGAAGACACCAAAACAAAAAGCCACTATAAACACATGCTCAAAGATCAGCAGGCTGGGAGGAACTTCATGATTTAGATTACTCCATCCCTTCCTTAAAAAGTTCTATCTCATCCACAGTATACTCGTTTTGAACTCCATTAATCAACCCAACTTGAAGCATAGGGGATATGAGGTCAAGTTCAATCATTTCGGACCAAAACACGGGTAACACTGAGACAAGGAGTAATGATACAATACCTTGCCATTAGCTTCACTTTGTTTCTGCGCATGAAGAAGATCCATAAGATGGCTTCTCTTGTCAGCATCTTGAACATACTCAACTCTTTGAAGAATCAAATCAGTACTAGACCCAACCCTTCCAACAGCCAGGAATATGTAATTTGCCAGAAAGTCTGATGCAAGTCTCTGCATGTACATGTCCCAGAAGATATCAAGTTAGCAATTAAACTATCAGTAACAATTATCGGTGACACTAACAAGAAGGTCCTATGGCTTACTGAAGGAAGCCTAGTATCTATCGCCAACAAGGAAACTGAGAAAACTCGCTTATCCAACAATGTGACTTGTGAAAAGAATAGAGGACTTGACAAGACAGCCTAATCAAGGAACTCCCTCAAACAAATTTAAAATGTGTATTTCATACTCTGAAGGAACTTGACAGACTCGACCCAGAGCTTGAGACGCAATTGAGCTCACCTGTATTTCTTTAGGAAAAGTGGCACTGAAAAGCATTGTCTGTCTCCTCCCAGATGGGGGCATGTCCACTTGTTCCACGATCTTTCTGATCTGAGGCTCAAAACCCATATCCAACATCCTATCAGCTTCATCAAGTGCCAAGTATTTGATCATTTGCAAGGACACCCTAGCCCTCTCAAGCAAGTCTACCAATCTTCCAGGAGTTGCTACAAGAATATCAACTCCTCTTTCAAGTTCTCTCAACTGGTCAAACAAAAGAGAAAAGTTAATGACCACAAATTGAAATCGAAATACCATTGTCAGAAAAAAAAAACATAAGTAGAATCACTTCTTTGAAATAGACTAGATACATAAAATAATAGACTGCTAGAATAACCAATGTCATTTCAAGCAGTAAAGGTAGTGAGACACCAAATCTTGGCCTTCTAAAAACGTACTCCATTGCTCTGAACATAAAGTATTGGTTTAACGGATACATGTATAGTTATTCACATATATAGAAACAAAACAGATGCCTTTCTGAACATCATGCAACAGATTGTAGCCAAACAGATGCCTTTCTGAACATCATGCAACAGATTGTAGCCTTTTAAGCCTTCGGTGCAACATACAATAACATAGGAGGAAAGAAAATCCAGAACAGGCAGGCTGCCAGTATAGAGTGTATAAGAACAACGATCAGACCTGTTGCGAAATCGGCGCCCCACCATAAGCAACAACAACTCTGACACCAGTTTGATAAGCAAACTTCCTGGCTTCATCATGTATCTGGAATTTAGAAACAAAATTCAGAATGAAAAGATATTAACCATATTAGAAGGGGGCAAAAAACTATCAATTGCAAGAGGAGATAAACATAGTAGCCTACAGAGCTTATCACACCTGAGAAGAGAGTTCTCTTGTAGGTGAGAGGATAAGAGCCAGCGGGAAAGCAGTTCTAGGAGCACGTGGTCTCTGTGGAAAATTGTCACGCATTATCCCATTGATGACTGGGAAGCAAAAGGCAGCAGTCTTTCCTGAACCAGTCTGAGCACAGGCCATCAAGTCACGCCCAGCAAGCAATATGGGGATTGCATGACGCTGAACTGGTGTTGGCCTCACATACTTGCATTTTCTTATGTTTGCATTTACAGCCTCACCCAAGTCTATCTCTGCAAAGGTATTTACAGGAGGAGGTACATTATCTCCACTTGCCTCCACAGGTATATCTTCATATGCATCAAAGTTAATTCCTGTTGTCTCTTGTCCACTGGATGCACACTCTGCATCTTCTTCTTCTTCTTCACCAAATGGATTCACCTCACGGTCTCTGCCGCGTTCCCAACCACCCGTGTTACTATTCCAACCACCTGCATTTCTGCCGCCATACCCTGATCCTCCTCTACCCGGATCTGGTCTAGCACCCCCAGCCCAGCGGGGTGGTCCACCATAACCTACACGGTCATTAGCTGGTGCTGGTGCAGCAGAAGGCTGAGCTGCAGGATCAGCTGACGGTGGCCTGTTGCGAAGGTGCGGTGGAACATAGGCAGCACGACCAGTACGTGGGCCAGAATTGTTGTCAGATACAGAGCTACCAACAGAATCAGCCCATCTGTTTGTCATAATTGCTTACGAATATCAAATTGAGCAAACCTAACCCTAACAACTGAAGAAAGAAAACAAAAATCCAAGCCTCTCCCAGAATCAAAAATTCCTCAGTCTTCCCCTCTATGTATTACTGCAGAACCAATCCTTGATAATCACAGCGCGAGCAACCTATTCCAAACATGAATCGAAAAGGAAACTTCAATCAGAGAACAATATCATCAAAGTAGAAAAAGAAGCCCACAAGTTTAATGGCCACCACAACAACATCAACGATCAGGAAGGCATTGCAGCTACGGAATCCCATTCAATCGTAAGCTTCATATAACAATCAGGAGGGTAAAAAAAAAAGCAAAAAAGATGCAGGAAAACCTTGAACTAGGATAACTCAGACCTGGGACGCCTGCAGAAACCGAGCTATAAACACGACGCGGTCAAGCAAAATCACGCACACGCTTTCTGGACGAAGCAATCCAGCAGCGAGAAACAAAGAGCAACAAAATCTCACACAGAACAAATAACCGAATAAGAGGGAAATCGGGAAAAATGAAGCGCCATTGCTCGCGACCCACAAACAAAAAGGAAGAGAACAATCAAAAGAATCGAGAGCACTAATCCAATAGAACAACAACAATATAAACACACGCGATGGCATCGCGAGGGTACAGCCAGCAAAAGAGGATATCCGAATCGAACCCTCCGCATTCTTCTCGCCGCAGCAGCCAGTCATTCAAAGCATACCAAATGCGGGAAGGGGGAAAAAAGGCAGAAAAAATGGCGACAGATAGGAGAGGAGAAGAAGAAAACGATGCGAAGCGGAAGAATAGAAGATTTAGAGAGAGAGAGAGAGAGAGAGAGCGAGAGAGAAGGGGGAGAGATTACAGAGAGAGAATGAGTAGGCGAGAGAGGAGGAGAAGGGAAGGGCGGGGAGGAAAAACCTGAGCTGGTAAAATTCGATCGAGAATCCAGAAACGCGAAACCCTAGCTGTTTAGGGAGGATCGGACATATGAAGAGAACCCAAAACTATCGGTTTTGGTGCGGGAGAGAAAGGAGCGAGTGAGCAAAGAGGAAAGAAAGGAAACTTAAAAGGAGATATTTATGTTTGTTTGATACTTATAATAAAATTCTTTTCGTATTCGTTTTGGAATGAAAGAGGAGAGGTTTAGCTTATGGCGTCTAGATTTACGTATCCCCTTACCTCCTCTCTTTGTTTTTCTTTTCTTTTCTTTTCCTGTCCTCCGCTTTCTTTTTCTTCTTATTAATATCTGCCTTTTTCCTCTCTAATTCTCAATTTCCAATTCCTTTTACCAAAAATAAGATTTACAGATAGCAAAAATATATGGTTTTCAAAAAATAATATAAAATCGTCTCCGCCCGTGTTTTGGTTTTGATTTTCTTTTATTTTTCTCCTAACTAACAATTGTTAGGTTACAATTAGTAAAACCTAAAAACATTCAGAGGAATAATATTATAATAGTCTTTCAAAGGAAGGTAGAGTTAGATCCGAAAACCACTTCCCTATTACAAAATGGAGTGCTCCATTTATTTGGTCTTTTATGCAATCAATTAACTTAATGGCTTGATTTTTTTTTTCTAACACAAAATTGTTCACAATTATGAAACAAAGTTATGTACATATGGAGAAACAAATAATTGTGCGAGATTAGGATAGAAGGATATAAATTGATGCTCCCATCGGAAGCTCTCGTGAATCCTCCCCCGACGCCCAATCTCACGCCGCCGGAGTGGGAAATGACAGAAGCTAGTCATCTCATATCCGACAGTGGAGACCTCGGCCACGACTCTCTCTGGTCTAGTGGGGAACCATCAACCGGCGAATACCATACCGCCACTGACGCACAATTCGCTAGACATTGCCTTTGTTGGCCAGCAGACACAGCCAACAATCACATACAAGGCGGCTCTCTCAGGCGAGGCATCCCCTGTGGCTAAACCAATCACCCCATGGATGTTCGTGGGGGAGAATGACCTCGTCCAGAGCTCCTTTAATGGGGAACGTAGTTAATAGTCTATGAAGGTCTTAAGTCCAAACTTTGCTTGCCGTGGAAGAAGACCTTAGTGGTCCGCCTCCTTGGCTGCAAGGTCACGTACGCTTATCTCTGCTCCCAATTGAGATGGCTATGATGTCCGGGTGGTAAGCTGGAAATCATGGATATGGATGATGACTTTTTTGGCTTCTTCGACAATGACCAAGATTATTTCAAGGCCATCACGGGTGGCCCTTGGGTGGTGCTAGACCACTACCTAGTTCTCCATCAATGGTCACCAGCCTTCCGCGTGGGAGAAGCAATCCCAAGAATCGTAATAGCATGGCTTTGTTTCCCCCACCTACCAGTTCACTTTTACCATAAGAAAGTATTGTTTGCCCTCGGGAATCTGGTTGGGCGTACGATCAAACTTGATTACCATACTGAACACGACCACCGAGAAAAGTTTGCAAGAATCGCCATCGAGTTGGATATGTCCAAGCCATTGCGACCACGGGTTAGGCTGGATGGTTTTCTGCCAGAAGGTGGTCTACTAGAATCTACCCAATGCCTGTTTCGAGTGTGGGATCGTTGGTCACGCAGAATGCGCGTGCCCCAAACTTGGTCGTGCCCTACTTTTCATAAGCAGGATCCATAACATACATGCAGTGCAAGCTTGGTTCCAAGTGGACAATTCTTTATGTCCCAAGCCTCCCTCTTTTGAAGGTCTGACCATTCTATCTCATCCAATTTTTGTTTTACCTTCTTCACCTTCATGCCATAAAAATTTAGAGCCGAGAGTATGAACTTGCTTGAGAACCTTATTGTGTTGAAAGAACATTGTGACAACACCTTTTGTCATATTATACCTAATATGACAAAAAGGGTATCTAATATGACAAATTTGCCTTGTCATAATTGGGCGAATTTGTTGTAGTGCCATAAGACTACCTTTTTACATTGAGGGTGGAATGTTAAATTGCAAAAAGTTGTTTATTCATTAAATAACAGTGACAAGCACTATATGATGATAGTAAGAAGGTAGGGTGATAAAGTATTACCCTGCCTCGTCCCCTTTGTGAGCAAAAAAAAAAAAACACAGAGACCACAATTCACATTTATACCAAATTTTGTTATTTCACACACATTTTTATCCAATTCAAGTAGCACATACGAAATCCATTAACACCCATCATCATAACTAGATATTCCAATTTACAGAGTCGAAACATTTCATGAGATCGACTTTTATAGCACATTGAGATGATAAATTATTTCCTTGGTAGCCACTAACTAATAGTGACAAGCCTGCAAATTTTCGTAACCCTTGTCTTTTTTTTTTTTTGTCAAATTTGATCCCAAAAGTATTTTTCTAACATTTTGGCCTTGCTATCCGAGGGAATTTTTTTAAAAAAAATTGGCATTTTGGTCATTCATTGGATATGGTCTAAGGTATTAACTCTACACAAAATAAATAGATGGAAACATTCAACATTCTCATGAAGGACTTTACTATTAGTAATTTAGTATTGAGTAGGGCACAAGCATAATCAATAAAATAAAGATATTGAAAAGTCTGAAACCTTAGAATAGGAAAAAAAAAATCTAAATACCATACAATCATGACGTTTAAATTTGACATGTAAATGGTAAAAGAAAATGAATTAATATTCCAAGAATATCCCTTATATCATCATTTGATATCATATTAGTTCTTCAAGGTCCAATAACTTAGCTTGGAGCTGTGTCACAACCTTCTCGTCAACTTGGAATGCCTTGGCGAGGAGGTCACTGGAAATGTCAGGTTTGGAACCAAAAACAGCTTTGGCAACAGTGATGACTCCAGGATTCTGACTGCTTAGTGCAGCTATATCCACAACATGTCCATACCCAACATTACGTTGGTAGTGGATCAACCCAACTGGAAAGATGAATACATCTCCCTTATGAAGGACCTTGGTAATGTGGCGATTCTCAGGGTTTGACGTCACAAATCCAACTTCAAGAGTTCCTTCAATCACGGTGAGAATCTCAGTAGCACGAGGGTGAGTGTGGAGTTAGTTGATACCCCATGGAGCATAGTCAATGCGAACCATTGAGATACCAAGAGCGTTGAGCCCCGGAATTTGGGTAATGGAAATAGGAGTAGAGCCCACTGCATTTGCGGTGTTGCCGGGAATATGAAGCCCACTGAAGGAAAAATCACTCGCTTGAACCATTAAAGGATTCTTACAAGCCAAACCATTCATTCTTGTGCTGGCGTTGCCATCTGCCACTCAAAAGTCCTGAAGGCTGGTGGGATCCATGGCCATTGACAAATTTGCACAAACAGCAAGAGCTACGAAGCCCAGGAAAACAACCCATTGTGCCATTGCGGTGTGTATTATACTAACAACTAATAAGGGAGAGCTAATGAAGGAAATAGCAATGAAAGTATGAGTTTTTTGGGTTTCAAGAAAAGCAAGTATTGGTAGTGTAATGTGGTCATGAAATCCATCGTCAATTAATTGGCCATTGGCCAAGTCTATAGAAGCATACAAAAGCTTTTTAATTTGGCCTCTCTCTCTAACGCATTTTGTTTGCCTTGTCCATGGACCATGGGTGACTGCTAAGGCGGCTTTACATTATGGTACAAGTGTCGATCAACTGCGCAGGGATCAGCTTGTGCCTTGTACAGTCAATTTTGAGTTAATTCTCGACTGAAAATTGAGTTGATATAGTCGCCTGCAAGAGTACATGTTCGGAGGATATCTCAAAGCCATATAGGCTGCCACTACAAGCGATTTGCTACATCAAAATGCTCTCGTGTGTATTGATTCGTTCTCAATCCAGAATTTTACATCGGCTATTTGTGGAGGAGAAACCGATGTGGGTTAAAACATTGTAATATAGCATTTTCATCATAGTGTTTACGCATCAAGGGTTTTTTATATTAAAGCGCTTACGGGTCAAATGTCATGTCTTCACTATCGTTGTTTGCTCCAATGTTTACATCAAAATGCATGCAGCAGCTCTTTAGGTATAAAAAATGTTGGAAATTAAAAAAAAATTGAACATAATAATTGTGTTAATCATGCTCTTTAAAATGATATCCACTTTTGACGGATTTTGTAACAAAAAAATTAGGCATATGTTATCAGTCTATACTATAGTGGTAATGTTTGGTAGTAAATAAGATATTACTATGCGGTATGAATATAGCATAGTGTAAAATGGTTGTATACTTGATAGTATTAAAATACTAACCATCATTTGTCATGTTTCAACATCATATACCACTAGTCACCACCTTATACCAGGGTAGTATAAAGTGGTATATTTCTCTTGTCCTTGTCTGAACTCCACAATAATATCCGACCAAGGGGACGAGGTCTTATATCCAGTTTAAAAAGATAAAATAAATTTGGTTGGTTATCATCTTGATATGATATCTTTATATGAAATAAATAATGTACCATCTCACCATAAAACTCATGGGTTAAACTAACGGTTCACACGCACAGGATTTTCTCTCAATTCCTTCGAACCTGTAAGAAATTAAACAACATGGGTCAGCTACTAAGCTGAGTGTGTGAACAACTCCTACCTATACAGCCTACCTAGTTGGACATCAATTAGCTAATCACATAGTCATATATTCACATCGATACATTCTATATGCGGTCCTAGATCAACATAGGCATTCGTTATGACCAATATTTCAAAAATCATATCAAGTAAATCATGATACTCATCATTAACTCATTCAACCAGTTTAGATTATCTTCATCTTCAATTCCTTCCGACAATTCATATCATCATTAATTTATATCAATAACTCATATTATCATCCTTAATTCATCACCAATTTAGATCAAGATATCACATAATCCAGGAACACACAATACAATGTATGATATACAGACTCTCCATATTATTATCAACTACTTTACCATTGATACCATCGTTTTTTAGAAATTTGGCACTTTGGCAATCCATTGGAGATTGTCTAAGGTGTCAACCCTAAACAAAATAAATTCGTATAAGTATTCAACCGTCTCATGAAGTACTTTACTGTTAATATTGAGTAGGACACAAACACATATAATCAATAAAATAGAAACATTAAAAAAAATATGAAAGCCTTAGAAAAATAGAAAAGGTAACCACCATATGATCATGGTGTTTAGGTTTGACATATAAAAAAGAAACGATTTAATATTTCAAGAGCATCCCTTATGTCATCATTTGATATCCTAGTAGTCCCTTATATCATCCCTTAAAACATAACAAACAAAAAAAGCAATTACCAGATTACCAGTAGATGGAAAAATCATTAAAAGATTATGAGTGAACCACATTACACTATACTAAAAAATCACCATTATACTACATTATCATAAGACAAGGTTACCACTAGACCGAAAGGATTACCACTAGACCAAATTACCAGTAGGATGAAAACATTACCACTAGAGGGGAAATGAGGAGTCAGTTGAATAAAACTAGTACCACTACATCGCAAATTAAAACCATTAACTAGACCAAACTAGTACCAATATACCAAAATAAACTATTACCACAATACCAATAAATTTATGAGAAAGACAAAACTAAGATGCATTTTTTGTTAGGAAAGTGAACATCCTTTGTAGAAGGAGTGATTTAGGAGCAGGGGGTTCTAATAGAGCAAGCGATTCTGGAGAGCTTGATGGTCAAATTTTGGGTGGAGGAAGACTTGATCTATATGGTGGAAGAATCCATCTTCAGCAAGTTTGACAGATACCACAACGGGAAAGTGGACCTGGAGTAATACCTGTCGGAGGTGGACAGAGAAGCGACCAGCGAACGAGTGAGAAAATATAATGATAGTAGGAAAGGAAGAGGATAGAGAGAGAGAGAGAGAGGACTTGCGGGCCAAATGGCACATGACTATTTCTTGCTATAGAGAGAGAGAGAGAGAGAGAGAGAGAGAGAGAGAGAGAAAGCAAAAATCCACGGAGTGAGGTGGCAAAGGGGATTGGGCGATTGGCGAAGGGGGCTAGTCAACAGAGTGAGGGTGGCCAATGAAAGAGGAAAGGTTTGAGAAGGAGAGATGAGGAGGGGAGGGCTCAATAAGGGGAGGGCTGGAAAATAGGTTTTTTTTTGTGATGGTTTAATTTGTAGAGTGATAACACATAAAATATACGTTTTATCACCTCATCTATGATATGTTTTGCATCATTTATTTATATTATTAGCCATTTTATCTTGGATTTGCTTGATATTTGTTCAAATGTGCATTTGATAGCCTCTAGAGCTTTTTACACATGTGATGCATTTTTAGGTAGTAATGCCTTATCCTCTTTAAGTCAGATCCAAACATCAAGACAGAGCAGGATATTAAGTATCAAGAAGAAGATTACCATGGTGATGCCTTATCCTCTTGTATTTTCTAATCCTTTTGAATGCATGGATAGCTAAACTTCTATACTATTCATATTATTTAGAACCCTAGGGTTGATAGATGGATTTTTTCTATGGATTGGTTGATGTTCTTTAGATTGATTGATGATATGTGATTGTTTTAATATCAATGTTATCGTTAGTATAATCAAAGCTATCTTATCATGTGTTGATACTTTCAAATCTATTTTGCAATTGGATGAGTCTGGAAATGGCCATCTCATCACAATCGAACATCAATCGATTGAGCTACCCTGGATTATTAAGAGAGAAATTTTTAGGACACATCGTAGCATATTCGATCTAACCATTGTTAGACACACGCCATTGTAAAATTGCATTGCGTAATAATCGAGCAATTCCTATGGCATAGAAGTATGTCATACCTAGGGTAAGCATAATCTGAATGGTCGCCTTTATCATTTGCCTAATTTTCATTCAATTTAATATTTGTTTTTCCTTGTTTCAATTTAGTTTTCCTTATTCATGTCAATTTTAGTATTTTTGTATAATCTAGGTTGCAACTTTTGGTTTTGAGTAATAGGATGATTAGGGACCTCGTGTAAATTTGATGTGAGTAGCCTTCATCTACATAATTAAATTTGTTGTTGTCTTACAACATATCAAATTTTGGTGCTGTTGTCGCAGACTTCTTATCTATTGTAGGAAGGGATCTTTAGTTGCACCTTTTTATGTTTTTTCATGAGGTATTTTGCATTTTCTTGTGTCAGACTTCATAAAGGCATAAACGCACAAGAAGGAGAAAATCGGGGGCCTAGGCGCCAATTTGTGCCCAAATTTGGTGCTCGATGTAATTTTCTTACAAAGGCCTAAAAATTTCCCTCATGGAATTTTGACAGCCCTGCACCATCCACACGATGGGGGAAAGATTTCTACGCAACTTGACTGACTTCTTTCACCCTAAAGCAGCTCACATAACATCTAGCATTGTCATGCCAGAAACCACATATGTTAGTTGAATTCGCTATCACGATTCAATTACTGGAAAACAAGGGAATTATTTTATGGTGGGGAAGGGAGATGATGACCCAACTACTCATGTATGAGAATTGAAGCACACTGTAGACTCATCAAAACCAAAGATCGAAAATTCTAGCAAATTCTTTCTAGTTTGTTTTTTCCCTGCCTGGGACAATCACTAACGATAGATAGCGAGGGGGAAAAAAACTTCTAGAGCTCTTTGGACAAGGCACAAGTGGTAACTGATCCTGAGCATGAGGTCCCATAGAAAAGATAGTGAAAAGATAGCCTGCAAGAACTCCGCCTCAGTGAAAAATCTTCCCCCCGGTAGCACAGCCGAGACAGCGACGGGTTCTCTGCCCCTGCGGGGATGGAGCGACAGAAGTTTTAAGAATTCAAGAGAAGGTCATGAATTATGGTCAACAAACCATCCGAGCTGCAAGATACATTGGTCAAAGCTTCTTACCCTTTTGAACTTGTATTGATTATTTATAAGTTTACAATAGAAGGGCTCGGATGAGAGGAAACTTTCACGTCCGATTTTGAGGGGGGGGGGACCCTATCTCAATGTTTCCTAGAAGAAGGTGACTCGCGCAGACAGCTGACTCCTTTTCAATAGAAAAAAGGAGTACTCAACCTCATGGAGTCTCTGTAGATGCATTTAACTTACGACTCTTCTCTTTTCTGCTTAAAAGAAATAGCAAAAGTATGGATGCAAATCCCGACCTCCTAGAAATTTTAAAACATGGGATACCCTCTCTGAGTCCTTTCTAGAGGAATACTTACCTGCATGAAAGGCTGACGAGAATAAGGACCAAATCTAGAGGTTCAAGCAGAAATAGGATGGGGCATTCCATGAAACTTGGGATCGTTACCAAATTATCGACATGTTGTCCGAAGGGGACGTTACCCAGTACACTGCAGAATTTTCCTTAGAACACTACAAGTCCATGGCTCATTAAACTAAAAACTGGGAAAGAAAGACAGCCTCCAACAACAGAGGATGGACCAAAACAAATAGAGGATGGTTGAACAAATAGCCACCTTGCAAGCTTAACTCGCCTCTCCTAAAGAGCAACAGAACAATGTCAAACAGTCTGGTGTGGAATGTTATGCTATGAATGACCAGTCTAATTGAAATTAAAGGCAGAAATGAGGTCATTTCCCATGCGACCATATAACTCCAATATCATGCTTGAATCATCTCTAAGAGTATAGAGGGTCTCGAGAATGGAATAGGCAAATCGAAGGAGTTTCTTGAGAATGACCAACTTCAGTTACTACATGACCAAGAGCGCCAACCTAAAGAGTACTTGATAGATTCAATGGTATGATCAATGAAACTCCTTTGGAAGCTATCACCCTAAAAAGTGGAAAGGAGACACTACCAACTCCTTGTGAAGCATCCTCTCATCAAGAGAAGTGACTCGCTTGTAGCGTCACACTAGAAAGTGGCCAAGTATAACCATCTGCTAATGCGTAGTATAGCGGGTTTAGTTCTAAATGTCAACCCGGGTCCTAGGTGTGATGACTACTCCGTGAGATTCTTATTATTTAGCGGTTCAACTGTCGTGAAGTTCCAACTAAACTAGCAAGCAAAAGCAGTAAATGTTGTGTTCCAAGTTTGAGAGAGGTCACCCAGATATGGTTCCCCCTATACTGCAGTTAAGTCAAGCTGTAATTTGCTAAGTTCAGATTCAATGATAGTTATACTGTGGGAGGTTATTAGATAGTCTGCAGTCTCGGCTAAAAGTCTCCAGACCCTCTCACTCTGAGTCTTCAGCGGGCGACTAACCTCCATCGGAGTAAACAGACTGAGGCCCTACGTACCAAACCTCCTCTACTGGAGTAAATCCAATACAGAATAATGAATTGACTTCTCGACTAGAGTCATCAATTCACTACCTTCAATCAAGGGTACTCTATCAACCTAGGCAGATATTCTCATTCTAGGTCAAAGCAGGAATAACAGGAATTTGATCATGATGCATGCAATTCATAAAATCATGCCTCAATTGAATATAATCAATATCAAAGAATTCGTACTTGGGTTCATACAGCCAGCCCTAACATACAAATCTAGGATTCTTCATACCGAGAGAGTGAGTTTACTCCATAGAGAGTGAAGGAAAATCTGCTTCAGATGGCAGAAATCATTATGTGAAGGACGAGGATCTGCTTCTGGTAATCAATCGGCACTCCTCCAAGCTTCCACCGAGCTCCAATGGTGTTGAAGATCGATTTTGGGCACTTGGAAGTTCTGTTCGTCACTTTCTCTCTCTAGGTTTTCTACTCTCTAGCTCTCAAAATTGGGTCCCCCTTCTCTTTCGCCGAAATCTCCTTTTAACCTAAGATTGGGCAAAACACGGCCGAGGACATGACCGTGTTTTGCTTCATCCCGCCCGTGTTTTGCTTCACTTGTGGCAAACACGCCAGCGTCGCTCCCAAAACACGGTCGTGCGCATGAAGTGACACGACCTTGGTTTGGTCCAATGGCACCCGTGTTTTGGACTCTCAACAACCATCACGAGTTCACGACACGCCCTCGGCAGTAAAAACACGTCCTGGGGAACACGACCGTGTTTTTGACAGGGCTGCCCGTGATGTTGCCCCAGCTTCACCGAACGACCTCCAAATGACCCGAAACTCGTGCCTAGTCTTTCCTTCGATGCTTGATACCTGAAATGTGACAAAATAACACAACCCAACGTAAAATAGGCCAAAGATACACGACTAGGAGCCGCAAACATATAAGAAATAAGGGTGCAAACACGTGCAAATACATCGTTATCAATAAGTCATGAATTCCAACAGAAGGCGACTATGGTGCCAATGACAGTCTTAAACCTCCATCCCATCCCTAACAAATCTTTTGGGCCTATATTTGCCAATAAGAGAGCACAAGGAGAAAAATTGTCTAGCAATCTCAACTTAATAAATTCTAGGCCCATAGCTCCTTATCATGCTAGGCTCAATTGAAATAAAGCACAATAAGAGGATGATTTTCCCAATTCATATATTTTCACCAATTCATAAAGAAAATTGGGAAAATAAACATCAACATATTCTTCATCGAAGCCATTTCCAAATTGCCACAATATGCAGGATTCATGAAGGAGGTGTTGGATGACAAGGAAAATATGAAGGATTAGCTTCTGCCACACTCAGTGTTGTATGTGGCACTATCCTCCAAAAATGGCCTCTAGAAAGACTTCCATATGTAAGAAATTCCTACGACTTGGAGGATGATCTTAGTCATTCCCTACTTACTCTCTGGTATAAACCTATCCATCCTCAACCAGTAAAAGAGACACTTCCTATCAAAATTGATGATCTAGATATGCATGGGTATTTTGGTTCTAGTTAATGTCCATCGGCAGTTCCCTTTCCAACTCAACTAAGTGTGGAAACAATGCACCGAGATACTCCCTCTCAATAATCTTCTAAAGGTGCAAAAGAGGAAAGCGTAGTTGAACTGCTGGACAAACAAAGGGATTTGCCTTCTCGAAAGATCAAGATGACCATAGTAATACTCTCTCTATGGAAATCCTTTCAACCCATAAGCTTTCTATTGTGGAAACTTACATTATGGAGATTCCCCAATCCTCCAGAAAATCCATGGAACTAGGGGTGTAAAGATGCAATCACCCAGATTAGTGCCTACTCGGAGGAGCTCTGTTGGGAATCAATGTAAGATGTTGGTTAACACAAATGTTAAAAATTCTATTTCCATGCACAGTCGAAAAACATATCATTTTCCTATGCACCCGAAATATGCCTATGATCCCTTTCATTTGAGGTGAATCCTTATGAATCTCTTACACATATTCCTTGACGCCTAATGAAGCCTCCTAATGGCTTACACTTTAGGTTAAAGGAAGTAGGAGAAGACATTATTAGTAGTGTAACTAGGATATTGATCCTCATATGATAGACCAGAAGATGGAATGCAAGGCTTGGGACGCACCAGATCTTTCTCAGATCCTTGCAATGGACCCATTTGCCACATATCTAGATAAGCAAGTGCCTTTAGCATCTTACCTACTCAATGGATGGGGAAATACGAGTTCTAATTTGAGCCACCACCTCTATGGAACTCACAAGTACTACCATGAATAAGGGGCAAGGTATGCAAGATGGAAATTCTGGTGGCCCTAAGACCGTGCGAATGGTATAGGGATGTAGGACCTACTATCGTGCTTGTCTCCGTCATCGTTGGATTTGAAAGAAGCACTTAGTTGGGTAGGCTCTTGAGTTTGCAATTTGCGCCTAGATCAAAGGTGTATAAAAGAGCTCTCCATGGGAGACATCCCATGTTTGACGTCTAACCTTATAAACAAAAATATAAAAGTGATCTTGGGAGAGAGTCCGGATTTCTATGATTTATCATTTTCTTTTGTGATTTTTCTAGTTTCTTTGTTTTGTTTTCTGCGACAAAGTTATTTGTTGACTCACACTCTTTCTCAAATTTATCAACATTCGAGGTAACTCCGTCTACCTTCCTTACTCCTTTGTTTGATCCAATGACGAATCTTTCCAATTTAACGAATGGGTTGGGGTTTGGTAGTACGAATTCTTATGCTATTATATCTTAACTATGTTGATAAATTTACGAACTTTAGGTATTTTGGATGTGTGCTAAAAGCTTGAAAATTTTTACTACACTCGACACTCTCCCGTGCATGTTCATGCTCAACTTACTTTGAATTACTAGTCTCCATATTGATACGTGATCTAAAGAGACTAGTAGTGGCTATGAAAGATGTCCTCGTCATGATACTAAAGAACACTGGATATGTCTAGATACAATACCTCTCACTATCTTTTGTGAATTCTTAAACACTTCCAACGAGTCTCTTACTCTTAAAAGCTAAAAGGGCTCGAATTGTATCTTTATAGATTCAAAAATCCTACCTAACAAAGCAATATAATAGACGTTGTCATTACAAATAAAGCTGAGGTAAAGCCACATGTGAAGCAATCACTCATTGCACAGAGGGAATAAGAATGATTCAACATACCATCGCTTCACGATTGTACGATGTTGCTTATCTAGTACAATCCCTCTCATAGTGAAGTGACATTTGAGAATTGTGATTAGTGTGCACGAATAAAGCTTCCGACAGCCCTCGTTTGTATTGCCTTTCCACACGGATCGAGGAAAGAGAGTTAAACAAATCTCTTATGTAAGTGCTAAGGTGAAGAAATTGCTCTTACTTGATAAAAACAACAAAGTAAACTCACTTGTTCTACAAAAATACAAAAATTGGCCTTCTACGTATAAAAGAGAGAACATAAAACTCTACTTTTCAATTAAGGTAGAGATGTGCATAAATGTATAAATAAAACTACATAAAGTTTCATCCCAAATGTTAAGAGCTTATGATATAAGGAGATTGGTCAGATTGTCTTTATGAGATATGTACCTCATTGATGTGGTTCGGTTCTCTAAATGCGAGGGTTGACCTTGTAAGCTGCTTTTTATCTACTACCTACGATAGAAAGTCATGTGTCATCAAAGAGGTCTAGTGAGATGTACCATTTTAAGTATGGTTTGTTTTGGGAATTAGCAAAGTTCAAGTGTGGGTTAATTTGATAACACGTAAAATAAATGTTTTATCACCTCATTTTATGGCATGTTTTGCATTATTTATTCATATCTTTGGTCATTTACTTGGATCTGCTGATATTCGCTCAAATGTGCATTTGATAGCCTCTAAGGTTGTTTTACACATGTGATGCGTTTTTTGTATTTATTGAATATTTTCAGGCCAATGCATCATGGAAGCTCATCATGGCCGGAAATAAGATGAGATTAGCGCATGGACAAAACGGGGGGTGATTCAAAGTTTGGAATGGGGAGAGAAGACCATGTTAATTTTCAAGGAAATAAATCATTGACGAGCTGAACAAATCTTGGAGCACGGTCGTGCAAATGATCATTTCCGGGCACCGCCAACAACTCTATTTAAGCTGCCAATTAGGTTTTTTAAGGGGAGGCAACCACTTTTCATCCAGAAACCCTAAACACAAGCTACAATAGGCAAAATGAGGGTTGTCAGCATCATTGAGTCGGATTCAAAGATCAAGATGGAGTATAATATCAAGAATCAAGGAGTTACCATGGTGATGCCTTCTCCTCTTGTATTTTCTTATTATTTTGTTTGCATTGATGGATAAACTTTTAGGCTATTTAGATATGCACAACCCTATGGATGATAGTTGGATTTGTTTTATGGATTGGTTTATGCTCTTTGGAATGATTGATGTTATGCGATTGTTTTCATATCAATGCGATTGTTCATGTAATCGAAGCTATCTTGTCACATTTTAATAGCTTCCAATATATTTTATGATTAAGACTGGAAATAGCCATCTCATCACCATCAAACACCAATCAATTGAGCTACACCGGCTATTGAAGAGAGAAATTTGTAGGCCATTGTAGCATGTTAGACCTAACCATCGTTAGACAAACGACAGGTTGAAATTGCATCGCATAATTGAGCAATTCATATGGCATATAAGTGTATTATACCTAGGTGCAAACACAATCTGAATTGTCACCTTTATCGTTTGCCTATTTTTATTGGATTTTTTTCCTTTGTTTCAATTTTGTTTTCCTTGTACGTGTCAATTTTAGGATTTCCGTATAACCTAGGTTGCAGCTTTTGGTTTTGAGTAATAGGATTGATTAGGGACCTAGAATGAATACGATCTAATTAGAATTTCTCTACATGGTTAAATTTTTCAATGTCTTACAACATATCATAGAGTCACATAAGAAAGAGTTATAATCTCATGTAACACTTTTTTTTTGTTTCCAAAATTAACTCCGACCTCATCATGTCCATTAATTTAAAATTAGAGGAGTAATGGTTTAGAGAGAGGTAATTAGCGATTAACAAAAATAGAGTAGGCTTCAGTTGACCATAGAAACTCAACTTCAATTGGTACGTACAGCATACAATAATATGGACGATGAAGGGTCACAACTTTTCGTGCCCTCCATTTACAAATATAATCTCCATCTTTCTTCCTTTCTCCTGATCAAATAAAAACACACACACACACAAACCAGGAAGAACAGAAAGAAAATAAAGCAGAGGGCTTGTTTTTTTATATCTTTATTACTACACATTTATCATATAATTTCCTCTACTTTCTCTTGTTGGCTATTAGTTGTTGTTGGTTCCTCTTCCCTTCATGACATGTCTCCTTAACCCAGGTACATGAACATTAGTAATGTAGTCTCTCCAATCTATGCTCCCGACATCAAACCCGAATCGTCTCTTCTCACTCTCAGACATCAGCTCCATTAGTCTCTCCCCATTGCTGTTATCGAATCTGTATTCATAATGTATGACATCAGTTTCAACCATACTTGAAAACCATAGTTCGATAAGTTACTTTACCTTCCACCATAGAACGTGTATGGCTCGTAGATGTCGGCCAGGTACTTGGCTTGCTCCACAGACTTTCTGCAGATGAATTCGTGCCTTTGGGACAACTTCCCATCCGATGAGGTGATTGCGGTCAGCCCATTTCGCTGAATGACGTCCCTCCATAGGTGTTCGGAGAAGTCGTCCATGGAGCTGAAGAGTTTCATCAATGGAACGGTGATTGGCCTGCCGTTAGAGTCCACATAGGGAGACGAGTTGTAGTGTTCGTAGAGTAGTTTGGCCAGGTCCTTGAAGATAAGTGGGTTCACTACTGATGAGGCGATTTGGTAGACATTTATCTCTGGTTTCTGCTCCATTCCATGCCTGGCTATTGCTGCCAATGTTGCATTCACCACCATATCTGCTGGCACCTTTGGCCCATGAAAAACAGCAGGAAAAGAGAAGGTTGATTAATTTCACATTAAGCGAGTCTGTTGGCTCTTATCCAAAAGTGAAAGTGAGTTTTTTGAATATGTACGTCGTTCTTACCACGTCAAGAACTCCATTTGGGTCTACTAGGAATCCTGTGAGCTGCCCTTTCCCATAGTACAAAACTATTGGATCCATCATCCTGATAAAATGGTAAATGAATTTGGATAGTTGCTAGCCAAAGGGGAAGGAACTAGGTAGAGAGCTGACATTTTCTTGATTTCAATGATTACCTGTTGCCTTCCATCCAACCAGGGAATGGCTCCTTATAGGTGCTCTCAATTACACTTGGCCTGAGAATGACGACTGGAATCTCGCCTCTCATATTGTCAATCACCATTTCTCCCATGGCCTTTGTGAACACATAAGTATCTTGCCAACCTAATTTCCTTGCCCTGTTTAAGATAAGTTTGTTATTATATAACTAAGGTTGGAACAAGAAGAGATGAATGAAGAAGGGAAGTTGGAACTTCAGAAAAACGATTCACCTTTCCAATCCAAGTTCTCTCATCTTGATCGCAACTTCATTTGGGTGAAATGCTTCCTTGGAGTTCATGACCATCTTAACTTCATCTTGAATGTCCAATGTGAATCGTGATGCAGCTTCACAGACAAGACTATTGTTGTTCTCCCTAGCTATGCAATCCCCCATGCCGAATGCTCTCTCCATGATTTTTCCTTGTCTTTGTCCATTAACATATGCTGTTTCATGGGTAAAAACAACAAAGGCTATGAATAACAGTTTCTATATTAATTATTTGAAGTGAGTCAATTTTTGCAGGCTATTATAAGAATGGAGATCAGGGATATCAGTTTCTCAGTTCTCACCTGTTGATACCTGCAAGAAGAGCTTGAGTTTTTGGCACTTCTTGGCGAAACTCATGAGGTTGGAAGGTCCCCTTGTGTTGATGTCAATTGCCACATCATATCTGCCAAATACTTAATCAATCATAACAACAATTTCCATATGCATGAAAGATTCTTCTAATAATAATGATGATAACAATAATCAATTTGAACCTTTCATCAAAAGTGGTATTTGCTGCTGAATTCACAATAACATCGACATCATCAGCAATCAAATCTGCTAATTCTTGTTCCAAACCGAGATTAGATTTGCAGACATCACCAACGACTGGGACTAGTTTGCTCAACATGAAAGTCTGAAATGATTTTCCATAGGTTTGTCGGAGAGTCTTGAACAGTTCTGCATTTAGTATCTATGCAACAACCATGGTTTAAAACAGTTTAGGTGACAGTTTGTTATAAACAAAAAAAAATCAAGAAGAAAGAAAGAAAAACATACTTCAGTTTTCAATCTCGCCATTGCTGCATCCTTGTCTTTGGCTTTAATCAACAAATATATCTTCCCCACATCGGGCATTGTCCTAATTATCTTTTCAATCAGGACTGCGTCCAAAGGGTATGTATTACTATCTCTTAAGGACAAATAATTCTTGAGACATGGTAAAAATGACTTCACAGAAATCAAACAAACCTTTGGCCAGAAACCCGGTTGCGCCAGTAATGAAGAATCCTTTCCCTCTCAGAAACCTCACAATCCCAATACCATCATGAGTTTCCACAAGACTAGAACTTGTTGGTCCACTATAAGGCACTAAATCTTTCACGACAATCTCTGGTTGTCCATTCACAGCCAAAACCAAGCTGCTAGCATCCATAACAGTTGCTGGTGAGATTTGTTGTTCCTGATCAGTAGCAGTAGTAGGAGTAACCAAAGCTGATGTTCTCCCACCAAAAACTGAACCAACACCAGACCTGATTGCCTTTCCTCCTCCGCCTTGACAGAACACAACACTACTAGTAGTGCAACCTTTCTTCCTCCTAGGCCAACGATGACCACCGGAAGATATCTTCACATCTTTATTTGTTCGAACAAGAAGTGAATGAGGAGGAGGAGGAGGAGGAGAATAGAGGAAGAAAGAACCCATTATAGAATTATGTAGGTAATAGATTTAGGAACAAAAAAGAAACAATACTAAAACTCAGTTTTGTAGTTAAAGAAATGGTTGGATTAGAACTTGAGCTAAAAACTATCTAAAAACAAGATGTAAAGAAAAGGGGGCTTAAGATAAAAATGAGGAAAAAGCTAGTAAGCTAACTGTCTCTATAAAGATTGTGAGCATATAATGAAAGCAGGTTTGGTTTGTTAGTTTAAAAGGCGAAGGCATAAAGAAAGAGGGGGGAAAAAGAACAGGAGAAGAGAAGTTGGTGCGTGTGTTTGTGCATGAAGAGTTTTGTATGATGGAACCAAGTTTTTTATAGTGAGAAATATATATATATATACACACACATACAGAAACAAGAAAAGAGGCTCTCTCTTTTTGCCACTTTGAATTAAGAGACAAAATTGGAGGAGGATGCTCTTTAGTTCACATATATTTTAACAATTAAATGTTTCATTAAGAAAAAAACAATTCTTGTATGTCAAAGAAATGCAATTGGGAGGGTCATGCTATTCGTGTTGTTTATTCTAAGGACCTGCAGAAAAGGAAAGGAAACGTGCTTGGGATGGGGGAGCAACGAAGGTACCAAAATGGTACGATTTCCCATTTTTACTTTGTTTCCTTCTGGCTTGCGGAATAGTACTAGGTTAAGTTATAAATAAAGCAGTAGAGACAATTCAGTATATTAGTAAATCTGTCAATATGACAGAGCTCTCTTAATTGCGAAAATTTAATATTACGCAAACTTTGATTTAGAAATTCTATAGCAAGTTTCATCATTTATCAACCCAAATCATTATATTGGTGCGTAACAGATTAATTCCTTAAAACATTATATTCCTCCTTTCCTTTCCCAAATTTTCATGGTAGCTCTTCAATTGAAAGAGCTTTCAAACAGAGAGGTCAATAGATCATAGTCTATGGACAAACAATTTTGCCCAGAGAGAGAACTTTTTGGGGCAAAAAGAAAATGAGAAAATGTTCACCACTCACCTATTTTGTCAAGGAAGACCCTTTTTCCATAACCAATAGCAGAAATTTTTGTTTCGTGATGGTTATCTCAAGACCATGTTGACCACCATTCTCTAAATTTTAAACGGGTTCTCTGATAAGCTGTCAAACTACAATACATTAGGAGCATAAATATTGAGGTGCAAAATGCAAATTGCATGTGTATATTAAGATTAAGTAATAAGCATGATTCATGTGTTCAATATGAGACATACTTAGTTAATTTCAACTCTAACGACAAAATGACTAATGACAACAGACAACTCACTCACTTACTCCTTGAAATTTGAATGTCAATCTCTAGCTGCCCATATAGCAAGACTAGCAGTTTAGATGTGCAGTTTACTTCATTTATCATAAACTTACTTCATCACCTCAATTCCACCAGTTTACTACTCTAAATGAAAACAATAATTAGAGTCCACTTGTAGCCTGAGTGGTACCTCATAGATGCATCTGTGTTCGTTCATACTTTTATCTGGAAGGAATCTGACTGTCAAGTTATCAAATTCAGCTGAATCCCCTATCCTTGAGTTTAACAAGTATCGGTATAAAGATCCAAGGAGCCTCAATGTAGAAAAATTTGCAAAACAACAAGTTTCCAAGCCAGAATACCCAGGTAGTTGAGTCAAAATTAAAATGGACAACACGAAGAGTCATAATGCACCTCAATGCAGAAGAATCATACAAGGAAGAAGTATCCATGCTGATGTATTCATTCGAATCACACAAGGGCGCAGATGGAAACCCATGATACACAGACTTTAGTTGATGCAACAACATCAAAAAATCAATATCCATGAAACCCAAGGCTCATGTCGTCCAGAAGGACATCTCATGCCATATATATGTCCCCCACTTTCATGCATTTTCAACTAATTTTGTGTGGATGGAAGTTCTCTCATTATTTCTTGAGGAAGGATCCAATCAACGGCTTGCAATCGTGTCAATTATTAAGCTTAGTTAACAACTACAGTTCAAAAAACAAGCAAGGCAAAGACTTACTCACTGAGATGAGCATAAAGTGAGACAATTGAAATTTCATCTATCTCCATGTTATTTGCCATTCTTCAAACATAAACGCTAACAAAATGAACATTGTACAATTGCACAACATAGCAAGTGTCAACAATGAATAACCATCGTTTTCCATTTCATATCCATCTTGTGTATGCAAGCTAGGAAACATGATATTTTTTAATATAATATAAATGGAAGATTGGAGAAGCTCGAAAGTTGCGATGGAAATGCATGTGGTCTGAGGAAGTTCGTGAATGAGGGGTCAAAGGCGGAGATAATGCAGAACCAAGTGGAGATGATCAAGCTACCAGGAGAGCCATCATGATTTCCGACAATTCAACGAAGATCTTTGGAGTTTGGGTAGGACCGTAGATTATGGTGGTATGGTGTCGGAGTGACGCGTGTCACCATATGAGCAAGGTTTCACAATGACGAGTGACAGATTCTACATTAAATAAAGAACTGAGCTAGCTCACTTAATATTACCAAAAAAATAGATAACAAAAATGCAACTTGATTGATGGATTTGTCTTTGTTGGATGATGGCGACACTGCGATTTGTGATGAAGGAAAGGAGAAGCAGGAGAGGGAGGATGTGTAATTATCCAAAATGGTCATATACGTTTGGTATTTATAAAAAATGATTATAAAATTTTATTTTCTACAAAATGGTTGCACATTAATTACCGTTTGGTCCCCTTCGTCAAATATGTGAACGGAAATTGTGATAGTATAACCATGATTCGATTCATGTAATGTAGTTGCAACTTGCAACCTAAAGGTTAGTGTGCATTGTGCAATCATATACATATACTTAAGTGGTATGGGTGCATTTAACCCCCTACCTGAAAATATTATGGGTCGTTTGGATGAATCAATTGTAAAACGAGACAATTTGACCAATTGTTTCATTTTACAAAACGAGTCATTTAAATCGAGTCAATTCAGATTACCTGACCCCACCCCAGACAATTGTAATTGGCTCAAAATGAGTCAATTCAGAATTTCCCAGCCCAAATTGCTTCATCCAAATTTTCTGCTGCCAAATGGATCAATATAACACAATTGACTCAAAATGAGACAATTGCATCAGATTGATCCATTAGAATTCCTATGGTAAATCCAAAACGTTTGGATTTTGTCGATCAAACTTTGTTTTCCTTCCCTTCAACTTCGTCCAATTTCTGTTCCTGTCTAAGAAAGCTAGGTTTCCAGCGAAGTCTGCGATAGCGGCTAGAATCGGCGAAATTCAACCCGAGTTCCGCTCGTCACTTCAACCAACAAATCCGTCTCCTGTACTCTCTCCTCCGGATCCACGTCGCTTCTTCTCTATCTCCGGCGACATCCGACAAATTTCCGGCCGCCTCCCTCTTCTTTCTCCCTCTCAGACCCTTGCGTTTACTTGCGGCGGAGAGACCGATTCGTCCGGTTGCTTATCCGTCTAGAGCAGCTTCTGGTCCGCCTCTCTTCATCTTGTATATAGGCGAGCTTCAATTTTTATCGTCGCTGTTAATTTCGTTGATTTTCCAGCTCCAATTGTTTTTTTCTCCGCTGTCAGTTTCTAATACCAAATTGCTTACAGAAAGAGTAGAGAGGGAATCCATTTTGGGAGAATCAGGAACCAGCATTCTTAGTTGATTGATTAGTTTGACCGGGGGGAAAGAGAAAAATCTGCAAAGATGGTGTTGGCAGAGTTGGGAGGGAGTATCTCCCGAGCTATACAGCAGATGAGCAATGCCACCATTATTGATGAGAAGGCATTGAACGAGTGTCTGAATGAGATCACTCGTGCTCTGCTGCAATCTGATGTGCAGTTCAAGCTCGTCCGGGATATGCAAGCCAATATTAAGAAGATTGTCAATCTTGACGATCTTGCTGCTGGCCACAACAAGCGGAGGATCATCCAACAGGTGAATTACTTTTTTTCCTTCCCCTGTTTAATTTCACTGCTTGGGTCTTCTTCATGTTGTTCGTTTGATGAATGTCTGGTGCAATTTCATTACAATAATCTCGCTGCAAGGAGAGGCATGCGAGCTAGTGTGACTCCAAGGATTGAGCCAGTGCATTCTATAGTGACCGAATGAAGTCGTGCATTAGTGATTAACTATGTGAACAGCAAGAGTGTGCATGGGGGGTAAAGTGCTTAGCTGGAAGAGCTTTGTAAATTGCTATGATGCATACTAGTGCGACTCCAACCCAAATTCTCCTTGAAATTTCTAATCACTAGTAGGAGAACTAGAAGGTTTTGCTCTCGCGCATGATGTCCTCTAGTCACTATGTTTCATGGGTTGTAATGGTGTTGAATGAGATGAATTACAATGCTTAGACTTAGCAGAATTCCTGTCCCTCCTTTAGATATGTATGTTTGATGCTCTCTGGATGCAAATACAGGTATCGCTTATACTGGCATAGCAGAAATGCTAAAGCTGTATTGTTGTGTTACACCCATAACAAATGCATTATACTGTTATGGCTCTTCATGGCCCATGTAGAAGATTATGCTGTGCGTAGTGCGAGATAAGAAGTTGGAATACACTTTCTGATTTCTGAAAATTATGAGAAGCTAGTAGGATGATAGATATATAATATATTTGGAGGATTGTAGTCGAAAGGCTGTCACTTGCTGCTGCCTAGGCATCTTTTGGAAATCAGATTCTGATATGTGTAATGCTGTATCATTCCTTTCAAAGACGTTTAACTCTTTTCTGAAGTTATTTTGTTTAATTAGTAGACTTTTACTATATGATCATAGGCAATATTCAATGAGCTCTGCAAAATGTTGGATCCTGGGAAGCCTTCTTTCATTCCAAAGAAAGGAAAAACAAGTGTGGTCATGTTTGTTGGTTTACAAGGTATGTGCATCTCTTTTTCTTGTACTATGGTAAACATGTAGTTACTGCTATAAGTTTCTTCCACCTTTAATTTCACTTCTTTGTTTGGGGCTTTGATGGTTTCCGTTTGTTATGTCAGGTTAATTATGTTTAACTTGTGGCAGAATGGAATTTGTTTCACTATCTTAAGTTTATTGCTTTTCATATCCAATCTATAACCTATTTACCTTTTCAGGTTCCGGGAAAACTACTACATGTACAAAATATGCATATTATCATCAAAAGAAGGGCTGGAAGCCTGCTTTAGTTTGTGCAGATACATTCAGAGCTGGTGCTTTTGATCAGCTGAAGCAGAATGCGACTAAAGCTAAGATTCCATTCTATGGAAGGTATGGTTCTTCATGTTATCTTTGCCTTTTGTTGTACTTACTAGTGTATATACTATTTGATTCACTAGGCTTATTTCAAACAATTTTTGGCTACTCTATCAAGCTACATGGAATCGGATCCTGTAAAAATTGCCGAGGAAGGTGTAGAGAGGTTCAAGAAGGAGAACTGCGATCTTATAATAGTTGATACTAGTGGTCGTCATAAACAGGAGGCTGCCCTCTTTGAGGAAATGCGTCAAGTTGCTGAAGCCACGGTAAGCTCAGTTTTACTCACATAGGTGACCTTGTAATAAGTTCCCTAAAAGGAGCTAGACTTAATTCTTTCTTCTTCTTTTTTCCCCAGAAACCAGACCTTGTCATATTTGTCATGGATAGCAGCATAGGTCAAGCTGCATTTGATCAGGCTCAAGCATTTAAGCAAAGCGTTGCTGTTGGAGCCGTGATTGTTACTAAAATGGATGGTCATGCAAAAGGTGGTGGTGCTCTTAGTGCGTGAGTCTTCCTCCCTACAAATTGTATTAATCTTCGATTCTGCATTTTTCCTTGCATAGTGCATACCTGCTTTTGATAAATATGTGACGGAAAATTATTTTCCATTTCAATCTAATGAGAAGTCAGAAAAAATTTTCTCTACAAATTGTATTCGTTTAATGAGCAAATGTTGTCTGCCTAGCAGCAGCTGCTTGAGACATCAAAAGAAGTGTCTTTGGCATTGACCACTCAAGCATGGACACTGATTTGGTTCTATATGATGCTTACAGTGTTGCTGCAACAAAGAGCCCTGTCATCTTTATTGGAACAGGAGAGCACATGGATGAATTTGAAGTATTTGATGTGAAGCCATTCGTTAGTCGTCTTTTAGGTATTCATAGCTCTCTCCCCCCCTCGGTCTTGTTTGGCACTTTCGTGTCGTGTTCTTCTTTACCTACTGAGCTAAGTTATTGAAATGCATATTGCTACGAGCACTTTACCGATAGTGCTAATTCCTATTAGGCATGGGTGACTTATCTGGATTCATGGATAAGATACAAGAGGTTGTTCCCATGGATCAACAGCCCGAACTCCTGCAGATGCTCTCAGAAGGGACCTTTACTTTAAGGATTATGTATGAGCAATTTCAGAACCTTCTCAAGATGGGTCCTATTGGCCAGGTTATTTTTCCATCTTTTTCTCTATGGTATCTCAGAACCTTCTTAGGATGCTGTTTTGTGATTGCTTCGACATTAAACATGTTGTATTCTCTCTAGGTATTTTCAATGCTTCCAGGGTTTAGCTCTGAATTAATGCCAAAAGGTCGCGAGAAGGAAAGTCAGGCAAAGATCAAGCGATATATGACCATGATGGACTCCATGACAAATGAAGGCAAGTGGTGTTTCCTGTTATCTTTCGTTTTCAGGTGTTTGCAGGCGATTGTCCTCATCAGCTTACTGATGTTGGGTTTGTAATGCCATTAATTAATTAATTACAGAGCTGGACAGCACGAATCCAAAGCTGATGAACGAGTCGCGGATGATGAGGATAGCAAGAGGGTCGGGGCGTCCACTCAGAGACGTGATAGAGATGTTGGACGAGTACAAGCGGCTTGCGAAGGTGTGGAGCAAAATGAAGGGGCTGAAGATCCCGAAGAAGGGCGAGATGAGCGCGTTGTCGAGGAACATGAATGCGCAGCACATGAGCAAGGTTCTGCCTCCCCAGATGCTGAAGCAGATTGGCGGCATGGGTGGGTTGCAGAGTCTGATGAAGCAAATGGGTGGCGGCAAGGACATGAAGGACATGATGGGAATGCTCGGAGGTGGAGGCGACAATTGAAAACAATCGAGTCTCAGCGGGCGTAGGCAACTTACAAATTGGGCTTTTTTAGCTTTTCTATAGCGGTCGGACCAGGCCCATGTCAGTTTGAAAATGGACGCATTTAGCGATATACTATAGGCCATCACATCATGCTTATGGACTTGCTGGTTGTTAGTTGAGTTTTGGGCCACTGCAGTAACGTTGCATTTTTGAAACTTTAACAACAAAGACATGGCCTTTATAGGCAATTCCGTTGGCGTGCTTAAAGGGCTTAGTATGAGCACAAGCTTACTTATAGCTTAGATCGTGTCTCGTGATTCATAATCAAGGTTGTCAACCCGGCTTAGTTGAACGATTATTGGTAGGTTAAAATGACTTTTGGTGTAATTGATAACCAATTAGCCAATTTACAGTTAAGCGACAAGTAACCGATAATAATTTCAGAAAAAATAACAAATGTTTGGTCACTTATTTATAGCTAATTGTTCCAAATCAATTGCTAGCTGGTTAGCCCGTAACCAAAAAAGTAACTGATACAGATTATACGGTCATTAGTTAACCGACTAACAGAAAAGATGCAATTAGCGATAAATATAAATTTATTAACAATTGACCAATAATCAGATAAACGATTACGGCTATAACACAAACGAATTAGCTAACGAGTGTAATGCAACATAGCTAGATTCTTTTCTTAACTAGTTTGGTGCTCGACTCGTTGGTCAGAATGTTATTTGAACATAGCGTATTTACAATGTGCATACTAATGTTTCCAAATTATTTGAAAATACTTAATTTGGTATGACATTAAGATGATTTCAAACTTTTTGTTCAATTTTTTAAATCATTATAACATTTCATCAATGACCGAATATTGTATTCTTAATGATTATAACATTCGTGAATCATCATTCATGACCTGTCTATTTAATTATGCAATCACTTAGTTATCTATAGTTGAAAAGAAAAATGGCATAACAAAAAAAAAAGTTTGTCTAACAAAATATAGTTTAAATAGCAAAACATAACCATGAATTTGAGCCGATATGTCTTTCGCTTGAAGTGAGATATTTTATATATATATATATATATATATATATATATATATATATATATATATATATATATATATATATATAGGTCAGACTGGTGTACTCCTATAGTATACTATACTCCAGCTACTTCTAGTGAGATTTCTCTATCTAGACCATGAATTAAATCAAGTTTGAGGTATGATATTATACCTTAACTTCTAATAGATAAACCCTAGATCCTGATTCTCTAAACTCAAATGTGAAGTTCAATTTAATGGAAAATATTAATGGACCGTTTAGATTGGTCGGAGCTCAAAAAAGGAGATCTAAAGGTCATATCACATGAAGTATGGTATACTCTTATGTTTGTGTGTGTGTGTGGCAAAGTCTAGCGTATGTCTGTGTTCACACTTTGTTTTTGCACTTCAATATATTTTGTTGAATCAGAACTTTCGATTATTATTTTTTAGACTAAATGAATCTTGTGGTTTGGGTTAGAGAATTAGGGACTAGAGTTCACCCGTTAAAGGTTAGGATATAGTATCATGCTCCAAACTCCAGTTAATTCATGCTCTAAATAGTAAAACTCAATGGACGTACAATATACCACTAAAGTATTATAAACAATGCAATAACAAAAGAAAATTGACGGAAATCTGTAATCTTTATTAATCAGAATGTGCTACTACATCATCCAGCTCCAATTGATTAACTAAGTACATAGAGGTCTATCAACCCAAACTAAACTCTCATCCCATCTTGCCATCACATGAGCCATAATATGTGCCGCATCATTCGCTTCTATCTATATATGCCTCCAAGAACCATTGCACAAAATCTGCTATCTCAATCTTCTGGATAAGCCCCAAACAGTCTGTCTAAAGAATCGGCGTGCCCAGCTGGAGTTCGCGGACCATCTACAGACCATATTTCATTGCCAGCGCTTCTCCCATAACGACGTCATTTGAACCCCGCATCTTCTTCACAGCTGCACAAATGAACATTCCTTGATTCCACCATCTCTCTGCTATCTCCTTTTCGTATGATTCCATTCCATTAATCTCTCTGCAATTTTGAAAACACGAGGAGACCTCATCCCATAGCTAGGGATGGCAAATTACCCACTCATGGTGAATTATACCCAAACCCAAGTAGACCCATTGATAATGGGTTGGGTATGGGTGAAGTGCATATGGATTTGGGGGTTTATAGATGGGTTTGGGTTTGGGGCTTCCATAATCTAAATGGGTATGGGTTGGATATGGATATCCATTTACTTGAGGGTGTTTTAACTACACATGCAAAAATTGGACCTATTTGCAAAACTTGAAAAGTTTAGGTACCAAAATGTAAGACCAGAAAAATTTAGGTACCAAAAGGTAATTTTCCATCGATATTTTGAGGACTTATATGCAAAAAAAATTAAATTTAGGTACTAAATATGCATGTCTATTAAGTTTGGGTACCAAACCGTAATTTGTATTTGGGCATGGGTACAAACCCAAATCCATTTGATATAAACCCAACTCAACCCAAAGTAAATGGGTATGGGTACAAACCCATCAAACTCTACCCATATCCATCTATTTGGATTTCATACCCAACCCAATTGGGTTGGATACTAAGAAACCCATATTTGATATAAACCCAACTCAACCCAAAGTAAATGGGTATGGGTACAAACCCATCAAACTCTACCCATATCCATCTATTTGGATTTCATACCCAACCCAATTGGGTTGGATACTAAGAAACCCATGGGTATGGGCAAAGTTGCCATCCCTACCCATAGCTGCTATTTTCAGCCGTTGGTTTTCCCTCGAACCGCATACTGGTTGGTTTTGATATAACATATAACATATGACATCCCCACAGAGTATTGGTTATGGGATGGTTACGATTTTAAAACCGCAGTTCTGAGGATGGTATATATGAAAACCAGCCTCACCTAACCGTTGTCATCCCTTCTCTATATTGGTACTCACTATATGCTAATGCATATAACCACATCAATGAAAACTTCAGTCCTACTTCATGATTTTTCCTTTACCGTGGTTAGTTCATATTAAATCAGGTAACTCTAAATGAATGACTAATTACTCTATAAGATAAAAAATTAAATAAATTAAATAATCTACAAAATTGGTGTTCGCAAATTATATTCTTTTAAGCTTGTCCATGGGTTACATAAAAAGCAATTTCCATTGAGAAATAATCAGAAACTGGGTAACAATATACATAGATAAAGATGCTAATGAAAGTTAATATCTATCATTTGACGTTGAATATTCTAGTACACTTGAATAAGCTTACGATGCAAAATCTATTTAAAACGACATGGTTAGTGAAAAATCAATCTTAGATACTTAGAAAAGTGTTGAAGAAAAAAAAAGAGATTAAATAATCAATTATTGTATTATAGGCATTCAAAAAAAAAACCATTTGTCATGGAATAAAAATACTAATCACACTTAGGGCATGTTTGGAGGCTGTGATTCATACAATTGATGTATTCTATCAATTTGTGTATTGTAATTATATGTATTGTCTGAATAGATGCATTTGACAAATACATCGTTTGTTTAATGTGATTAAGCTTTTTGCAAATAAAAAAAACAATACTCATTTTAGTAAATAAAGTCAAGTTTGCCCTTTCGTTATCATCAACCCTACGGCTCGAATTTCCTCTCCGAGAGTTGCCGCATTTTCACTTGAGAACCCTAAAATCAGATTCTTTTGTTCCAGTCCCCTTTCCCTCACCGCCCCTGCAACCAACAATTGCAACAATAAAATTTGGAATCTTGGAACTTCTGGAGACGAAAAAAATAGCGAGACAAAGTGAGTGAAGCTTTTCCCCATTATGACTTTATTATTGCTTGGAGCGATGAATTTTTGCGGCAGAGCTCGGCGACAATAGACATGGGGAGTTCGGAGATCAAATCCAGATGGAGGTCGTTTTGGAAAATTGAAGGTTGTGTGGGTGAGGTAGGAGACGCAATCTTACCGGAGCAGACTCCTGTTGCTTTCGCTAGAGGAGAGGAAGGAAGAGATGCAGTCAGTGGCGGAGGAACGACGATGGGAGAGAGAAGCAAATTATGAGGGCAATTCTAAAATAAGATAGAAATAGAAGGGACAAAGATGGAATAAAAAATTAGTAGACAATCCTTCATCAACAATCTCAACTTTGAGTAGAGATTTGAAATCACTCAATTTGAAGGATTGTTGGTGGGGTCAGAAAAAGGTAATACATGTATTCTGTTGCAAAATAAACCAGAAAAATGACTCAATCTCACCATTACATGTATTCATTAAATCATTCACTTGAAATCACATCCTCCAAACAAGCCCTTACTTACTTCACCGTGCATTGGTTGAGATTTCTGCTTACTACTCAATAAGTAAAAAAGTTGTAGCTTCCTTTCGAAGTATTTGTTTATATTGTTCTCTTTGTTTGTCATTTTGTTTTCCTTGGATTATATGGTATCAGTATTCTTATGTAGTCCTTAACATTTAAAACTTATAAAAGAGGAAATGAGATTTGTTACATCCAATCTATAAAAATGAATATTGCGTCATTGGAACTAGCTAGTCATCGCCTTCTTGTGGTTTGTGGAAATAATGTACGAGTTTGTTAATTCGCACGACACGACGGGATGCTCCATATATTATTATTATTATTATTATTATTATTATTATTATTATTATTATTATTATGAATAAATAACTTGGGAAATCAACGTCGGCATATCACTTGGTATATCTCGGCATGGAGAGAATATTTGCAACTACAACGTGATTGCTTGCTGTTGATGTGACTTGAATCGGACTATCAGCCGCTACGACGTAGTGAAACTGGCTCTCTAGCTTATAAATATTTCTCATACTCCTCTGTAATCTGTAATTTCCTCGATATAGTGAAACTGGCTCTCTCTCGCCCGTGGACGTAGCTAACACACATCGTGTTAGTGAACCACGTAAATCATG